TCACTGTTTCAACTGGCATGCTGTGGCATGTAACCTCATCACCACCGCAAACAGACAGACGCACGCACGCGCGCGCACACACCACACACACATATACCATGTATACATCACTTCAGGGGACATTACATTGACTTCCATGCATTTCCTGGAGACTTATCCTAACCAACACATGACTAACCCTAACCAAGTCTTCACCCTAAAATTAATGATTCCCCTTATGGGGACCTCCAATTTGTCCCCATAAGGGAGGCGAGTCCCCACAAGTGACTGTGTAAACAGATTTTGGTCCCCACAAGTATAGTAATGCTAGGCCACACACACACACACACACACACACACACACACACACACACACACACACACACACACACACACACACACACACACACACACACACACACACACACACACACACACACACACACACACACACACACACACACACACACACACACACACACACACACACACACACACACACACACACACACACACACACACACACACACACACACCGCAAGATCGCGTAACAGTAACAGTTTGCGCTTTAACTTACAACGACCCCTGATAGATCTCGCGAGAATGTGTATAAAATGTAATATATATACTGTAGATCAGAGTCCTGCACGGGTCTGATTTTCAAGACCCGCTCCCGCGACGTGCAATACCGAACCCGCCCCGCGCACATATTGCCAATTAGTTCCGCAACCCGACCCGACCCGTCGGCACAAGATCCGCAACCCGACCCGAACCCGCATATATATGAGCAGTGAAAACGTGCAGTTATTAACACACGCAGTTGCATATTTGTCTCCAAAAGCGTGGGATGTTGGTTCTTTCCTCCATCTAGGATGACACCAAAAGCCTCCAGACGTTGGATTTCGCTCTTGAGGAAGTGTTATTGAAAATGCTGTATTCTTCGCTAGAGAGCTTCACCTCAGCCATTTCGAATGTGGCGCGCACAGCAGCAGATTGATGCGCTGCAGAGGTTATGATTATGCGCGGTCCCGCGGGGAGAAGTCTGAGGATTTAAACATTGAACTACATTATTATTATTTTAATATATTTATTATGCAATACCCGCGACCCGACCCGCATCATCTTTGTTTTACCCAGAACCGAACCCGGAAAAAAGCGATTACCCGCGGGTACCCGACCCGATGCAGGACTCTGCTGTAGATACATTTTCATAACAAAACAATGGGGTTGCTAAGCCGTTGCTAGGCCAATTGTTGGAGTTGCTATAGAAACTCCAAGCTACCCCGTGGCACTGTCCCTGTACAACAGCAAAACAAATCCCACTTAGAAACTAGAATCACCCTATAGCTAAAGATACTGACAATAATACATGGTAAATATAGTTTGATTCCGATATTTTGTATAAATATGTGCTACTTTTGTACTGATCTCCACTACAAAACACTCTGCTTTATATCATGTACAATGATAATATGTGCAATAATAACATTTGCAATTATCTGCCACAACAGTACATTGATTATTTGTCCATCATCATGTTTCTCGTGTTACTATTATTATTATGTTTGTTTATCATATGATTTTTTTCATTTCCTTCAGGATAAATAAAGTCCCATCTCTTATCTTATAGAACTATGTATTGGAGCAAAGTGAATCTTAGGCACACTGACGTACAGGTAGTAACAGGATGTGTGTGTTGTTCCAGGCGAGGCCCTGAAGTGTAACTTCTGCTTCTCAAACGAGAGTGACCTCTGCACCCCAACCCAAATCCAGACCTGCTCAGGGGCGGCCGACGCCTGCGTCATCATGATTCTGACCGGCCCCCCCCAGTAAGTCTGACGTGGTGTAAAGTAACTGAGTACATCTACTAAGTACTGTACTCTTTGAGGAACTTGTACTTTACTTGATGCCTTTTGTTTGATTATTCTAGGCCTTTCTCTCCGTCAGTGCATGAACATGCGGATGTGTGAGGACTGGATCTCGACCCCCGAGTCGTTCGCCACCTGCTGCAGCACCGACCTCTGTAACTGACCCCCGATCTGTCTGAGAGCTTCCTCTGCTGGCTTCATATCACTGTTACACCGCTGCCATGCACATCACAGTCTGTTTGGATTTTGTAATGCTATTAAAGAGATGGGTGGTATTTGTAAAAATCACATTGTACTTTTTGTGTGTTACAACTGCTTAGTGTCACTAGAGGGCAGCAGAGCAGAGCATGGAGAGTCCTGCATCTACCAAAGAACAGACTTATTCAATAATAACGTAAACAACTACACACTATGTTTTGCCTTACCTGCACCATACACCATACTGTATCTCACAGCACACTGTATACCTGAGTAAACAATAGAAAACCTCCCAGCATGGTTCAATACATTTCAACAGCACCTGAAACTACATCCTTTAATAAAGGCTAAACCCCTAAATTAGGACCTCTCAACACAAATCTGAGAGGAACGCCATAACTTTGCAAATGCGATGTGTGGATTTCCTCAGGTTTGGATTCTTAGCGAGCGCGCTGCAGTAGATTTTTACATTCACTTGTATCAACCTCAGGCTTTTCCTATCTTTGAACAATAAAATAAGACAAGAGTAGACTCTGATTTCATTGATAACGTGGTACAGGGCTGTAGGGTACACTGCTGTTGGAGCGAAACAACCAATGATTCTCGGACAAGACAACCAGAAGCTATTTGTTCTTGTGTAACCATGACGGATAATCCAGTGATTTAACAGTAGCTTCCATCGGGAGTGTTGATGGAGAGAATGTGGACTTCCTCCTTCTTACCACGCACTCAGTAAAACCATGGGAGATGACCAACATGGTTCTTTACGAGGTGTACCCCATTAAGTGGGGCTTCCCTTGTCTAACAAGTGCCTGGAGCGCTGTGGAAACACCGTGTAGCTGTCCATGTGCAGCCTGGGGAACCCCACACCGTACACTGGGTCTCCAGCAGAGAGGAAGACACGCACACTCACATCATCCACAGAAGCAATGCACAACACATGAGGGGAAACCCACAGCGGAGTTGGATTCCTTATATACTTATCACATATTTTGCTCAACTATATGTGAAATCAGAACTAAAAAGATGTATACAATGTAGCATCAACAGGTTCGGACTTCTGGGTTGAAAAGCCCCTAAGGTTCAAGGTCTGAACTATTATCATACACATTTAGGTTGTTAGGTTTAGAGTATTTTCACCTTTTTTGTCCTTCTTTGCTGGACCACGACCACATGGCTACAAAGGGAAATTAGATCCTTTTACAGGGCTCAATCTATAGAAATCTATCCCTAACCTAGTTAATGGGGTCAAGACCTACAATCTTGATCAGATGAAGCCTGTATCTACGTTTCCTTTCCAGATTGAACTGTGTTTGACATTCTGATAATTAAAAAAGGTCAGTATTAGCCCCAGCAAACTGGCAAATACAACTGCACACAATGAGTCAATTACCCTCAGCCACGGTGCGATATTTTTATGGGTGCAGCGGTAAGTCAAGCCATCAGCGGGGCGCTCTCAGGGATTTTCTGCTTCCTGTTGTGGGTGGACCACCAGAGCATCAGCTCCACGCAGATCTGGACACGCTCACTTCATAAACACCTTATTTTAGCAATGCCCCGGGCTAAATAGAAGCATTTGGTTGGTATAGTCTAAGAGAGGTGTAATGAACCTGCCTCTCTACTTGCATCAGGTAAAGACTCATTAGGCCAGAGAGAGTACTATAAAATCTGACAATGAGCACCACAGTCTGCGTGTTGCATGCACTGTGGTTGGAAACATAGTCACCTCGTTAACACCGCAGGATGCTCCAGCAGCAGAGCCCCGTGTGCCAGGCAACCTACAACCCAGGGAGGATCTCTTCAGAGTTTCCGACACGTCATGTTTTTCTCCTCGCCTTGGGCAAGGAAACCGGCAGTTCATGAGATATATGTTTGTGGTTACTTTAATAGAGTCCAATAAAAAGTGTTGTTTTGCAGCTACCACTGAACGCTAGAGCCGGGGTTCCCTGAAAACACACCGCCTGTGTCCACCTGAGAGTGGTTGCACTGAGGAAACACTCTCACTCTCCTGGAAGTATTCCATGAGGATGCGTAAAATCACAGATTCCCTCGCATTAATGTTTCCACTGCGTTAGAGAACAGCAAGAGGTGTGAGAAGGTTTACCCGAACATCTGGCCTGGACATATGCTATTAAGCTTCTGAACTATTACAACAAGTATTCTGAATATTGTAGAAGCACTATTACACATACATTCTTATGTCAATCTCAGTGTAAAGTAGTCTTTTGATAATGGGTTTAACCTCCAGTATGGGTTCCAATGTACCCCTAAAAGGATCTTGATAAACAGAAATTAAAATGAGAAAAAGCGTATGATATTTACGTATTTTCTTCAATAGAATGATCCTACAACAAATCTATGGTCATATTTTGAGTACGTTGTCTCAGTTCTTGTACTCAATGACAATAAAGTTGACTCTAATCTCATATTACTTCCTGTTCCTGTCAGTTTTAATATTCCTACAAATCATTTATGAAACTGAGCTAATATTGTTGTCAGCAGAGGTTGAAGAAGTATCCAGATCTTGTACTTAAGTAAAAGTAAAACAGTCTAGGAATACTCTGTTATAAGTAAAATCCTGCATGCAAATGTTACTTAAGTAAAGAAAATAAAACACTGCCAGGTAGCTTGTGTATTTACTCAAGGTGTAACTAATTAAGTGTTGATTTCATATCATTAATCCCAATCTGCAAAGCAACTAAAGGTATAAAATGCATGTAGTGGAGTCGAAGAACAAAGTAGCAAAACATTTAAATACTCAAGTACAGTATCTCTCAAATTGTAGTTAGAGTAGTAGGTTCAGGCTCACTGAAGCCTCTCAGCACCCTGACCTGAGTGCACGCCCGGATGCAGTAGCTCCTCCCCCGGCTGTGTACTTCTAGTATATGTAGACTTCCACGCGACCTCTCCTCACTCCCAGCTTTCCCAGCCTCTCTGCAGCACACCAGGAACAAGATGCTGGCCCCGAGCAGCCTTACCGCCAGTCTGTCCCTGTGGATTATTTTGCTCTGCAGCTCCGCAGTGGTCTGCAGGAAGTCGCGAGGGGGTCCTGATGACGAGGACCTCTGGTCGGAGAGCGTTTCCAGGGCGACGTGCTCCTCGCGCTGTCTCAGTCTGCACACACCGCTGCAGGTAAGCACGCTGACGTCACACAGCTTCAATTAGGCAAAAACAAGCTGCTCAATCGTAGAACAATGGCACTGTAAGTTAATAAAAGCAGACACAATCACTTTTATGGTGTTTGAGGGTTTGTAGAAGGTGTAAACCATTGAACATTTAATATAAGACATACAAAAGAGTATTCCTTTAACACATGTCTACAATTAAATGTTCTGTAAAGTGTAATTTCAAACAAAAACCTTACTGTTATTTCATCTTAACCACACTGTCAGGGATTTAATAATGGTTACTGTATCTCAAAAATGAATTAAAAAAAGATTTAGCCTTTGCAGGACTCACCATGTGAACAATATATTCTACAGTAAACACATGTACCCAGTTACCTTCTATAAGAGAACTGGGTACATGCAGAACACTTTAAAGCATTTGTGGAGAATGCTTTAAAAGTGTGTTTAAGAATACCCACTGACTTAATAATTAATGTGGGTTTTGGTTTGGATTCGAATGCTAAATATCACAAAAATATGAACAATTTCAAATAGTCTTTAGGGTCAGTTATTCATACAGATCCCTCGTCTGTCAGCAACTATCTCCACACACACACACACACACACACACACACACACACACACACACACACACACACACACACACACACACACACACACACACACCACACACACACACACACACACACACACACACACACACACACACACACACACACACACACACACACACACACACACACACACACACACACACACACACACACACACACACACACACACACACACACACACACACACACACACACACACACACACACACAGTCTTTGTTTTGCTCCGGGCTTCAGAGTGATGGGGACAGCGTTCCTGTACACTCACTTAGAGCGATGTGCAGTGCACAGAGTGATGCTCCAGTCCAGGGAACGGAGAAATCAGATTAAATCATGAATGTGCTGTTGTGATTCCCCTATCCCCTATAGCTCCTCTAAACCATGAAGTGATGCATTATTCCTCCTGGATTTGGCTCCAAGTCCTCAAAACTGCACCTCGGACATTCAACATCTGAAGCATCACTCTAATGTCTCTAATAGTTATCTATCTATCTAGCTGTGGCACCCCCAAAGTTAGCCTCTGCCATCTACCGTGCTGCTGCCGTCTCATTTCACTTGACCAGTGATCCTTGATGTGCATTCATTACAATTCCAGCAAACAGCCTCAGGCTCTCAGCAGGGAGCCATGAAGGACACCAAGTCCCACAAACTGGGGAGGAAAACAGTCATTTGTCATTTTACAGAAAAAAACCCGTTGTTCTACATAAAATGTAGACTCTGCAGTTCTCTTCACAAACTGTAATAGTACTACTAAAGGACCAAGGCAGTACACATGTATTATTCTACACTTATTCTAATGAACTTTTGCTTCTATCTTCTTCTTTTCATTGTCTTTTTCAGAATAATGGTTCCTTGGGCTGGTGTCATAATCATAAACAGTGCTCTAAGGTAAGTAACATAAGATTTCAAAATGTTTTTCGAAGCACAGCACTGCTACAGTTTACATCCAATCGACTTCAAATGTAGTCAGTGCCATCTTGAGACCAAAAGTGATTACAACTGTATTGTTCATCGATCGGCATTGCTATAGCGAGAAAGCAGATTTCCCAACAAAACTGGAATTGGTGCAACTCCAGCGTACATTCTGTCAATATGCTCCAAATGTCTGTTGGATGATAAGCCTGAAGACATCTACACACCAATATACACTCATATTAAGGTTCTTAGAGGGAAAGCCACTTTACCCCATGTGCCAGAGTTGATTAGCAACACAGCACAGTTCAATTCAGCACTTTAGAAGAGCTGGAGATGGCACTACTGTAGCATTGAGGGACAACAATGTACATAGCTTAAACCTTAGACAATTAGCATCGAGGGTGGTGTAGCGAGCATCACTTGGCAGCCATTAGAGGAGTTCAGTACTCCCTACAGCCTTGTTGTGGTGTTTGACTCAGAGCCAGACCTGTTTTTTCTTCTACTCCCCAAAACTCACATTTTGAAACGTATAAAAGTACTAGGAATAATATGCTTGCGGTCTATTCCTTGGGGAAAGCCGATGTCTTGTCTGTGGATGTTTACAGACCTGGAACTCTTTCATAGACAGTGTTAGTTGTTGAAAAAGGAAGCCAAACACAGGGCTTGCTTCCTCTCAGAGGAGTTTGTCTGGGCAGCAAATTCAATGGAGTTGTTCGCTCCATTATCTCTGGTTGGTCATGGAGGAGCACCAAAGATTTCCACTGCAGCGACATACATGCAAGTCATGTTCTGTCCCCTAAAAGAACAGCTGGGAACCCCAACCTGAGAGAAAAATGTCTCTGCTGTCTTCGCTACTATTTGGGACTTGGTTGCTTTCTCAAATTTCTTTCAAACACATCACCAAGTTACCCCCGAGACAGCTTTATCTTCAGCATAGTGGAATGGTATGCCTGATTTAAGCTTGAAATGGGGCAGACAATATAAGTGAGCGTCAGTCTGGATCAGTGGACAAGTCTTCCTGGAGCCCCGGGGGGGCGATGGCAGGGCTGGCACAGTCTATCAGTCATGCTTCAAGGACTCTCCATTGGATAGCAGGAGGATTTGCACTCTGTTGTCCAATTGGCAGCAACTTCCTTTAAAGCATTACAATAATAAAGCTGATCACAATAGAAGGTATGCTTGGTAACGGTATAGCGTTGAATGCAAATGTGTCGGGTTAGGTACCATAAACAATACCTGACTAAAGTGTAGCCTGGCGCTCCATATTTTATATGACCTCAAACGATCATTACACAGAAATTAAAGCACATCTGTTCACCCAACTATGACATAAAGTGTACTTTGTTGGACACTTTGGAAAAAATGGGCTTGTAAATGAATATATTGGAAAACCAGACTTTTAGTAACCTAAAGTGGATCTTTATGAGTCCCCACTGTGACTCTGTTTTGGATTAAGAAATATTATTAATGCACTTATATCGTTTTTCCAGGAATTACGTATCCAAACTCCTTGGATGTATTTTCTCTTGTGATCGTAATAAACACAGTCTGTTCAGAGTTTACAGCACTTCTCTAACTTTCAGACAACTTGCGCGTCCTTGTGATGCTACTGTACCCCCCCCCCCCCCCCCCCCACTGTGTCTCACTACAGCATGAAATTACTTCAGTGTCCACTCGCTCCCCAGGGCGGCCGCTGCTTACTGGTGCAGGATTCAGCTTTATGGTATAGAGGGCGATGCTGGTAATTGGTGACATGCTCCAGAAACAGCCCGAGAACAACATTTACTAGCTTTAGGTTACTTTTTAGTGCGTAGCTAAATATATGGAAACACCAGCCATTTCAGATTACATATACGCTGTCCTTTTACTCTTGATAAATATAGAACAAATAGACTAAATGTCCTTTTAAAGAATCAACCTTTTCCTATCTGCCTGTAATGTGTATCACAGCTTACTCTCATTGCTTTTCCTTCACAGTGTCTGGAGCCCTGCAAAGATTCCTGGGAGATGAAGAGGCAAAGCGACTGCAGAGAAATGTGTGAGGTAAACTGCAACGCTCTATACTTTATGTTTACTAGGAGCTAGGGGTAACATAATAATAAAAACGTTATGTTGAAGTATTGATTCAATTTAAAATCGGAAAATGTGCAGGCAGTCAAATTGAGGTCCAATGCATCCACCTCAACTTTACTCATTAGTTTCTTGCACAAACACATTTGATGATTGGTGTACATTAACACTGGATTATAGTGGTCTCCATTAACAATTAAAATGATTAAGGCCAACAAGATTCCCAGCCTATGATGCTAACCGGTCACCCTCCAACCCTTCTAGCGAGTATTTCCCAAGAAGCACTGGGAGTGTGTGACCAGCTGTGAGTTCCTTCAGTCTGTGTTGGCCGTGAAGCAGGGCACGTGCCCCCCTCCAGAGAGAGCCAGCGGCTTCGCAGCGGCCTGCGTGGAGAGTTGTGATAACGACAGAGAATGCTCAACTCAGAAGAAATGCTGCTCCAACGCCTGCGGACATACCTGCCAGTCCCCAAAAGACCTCTATAAGGGTGAGGAGAGCCATAACAATGTGCCGAAGAGCATGTCTGCAGCATGGCATTGATCTTTGAGGAGTAATATCATATCATGTCTAATGACAGAATCATGTTTGTCTCCCAGGCGTTCCTCTGAAGCCGAGGAAGGAGCTGGGCTTTGAGGAGCTCCCCTCCGGTCAGCTGGAGGTCCGTTGGTCCTCCCGCTTCAACATCTCTGCTGAGCCGGTGGTCTACATCCTGCAGAGGAGGTGGAACTTTGGCATCCAGCCCAGCGAGGACACTGCCACTGCCTGGCAGGTGGTTGCACAGGTCAGTTCACTGCACCCAATGTATTGTTTCTCTATTATATCGCAACTGCACTCATTGAGGTGGTAATCTGTGTTACTCTGTAACCCAACACTGCCTCTGATTGATCACAGACCACAGAGCAGGGCGCCAGGCTCTCTGACACCCGGCCGGGTCGCTGGTATCAGTTCAGAGTGGCAGCCGTGAACAGCCATGGGACCAGAGGTTTCACCACGCCCAGCAGACACATCCACTCCAGCAGAGGTCAGACACATCCTCTGTGTGTGTGTAACTAAGTGTTTATTTGTTCTTGAGAAAAGCCAGTACCCTTAACTTAAAAGCACAAGCTGTATTGAAAGACAAATACGTTGTGATTGCTCCTGGATGAATATTAACCTCCCCCTTCCCCCTCAGACCCCTCCAGCCCCCCGGCTCCCTCTGAACTCAGAGTCTCCAGTATGATCTTCGGCAGTGGCAGGGCCGTTTTGACCCAGCTCCAGTGGAGCATGCCCGCTGACCTGGATGTTCCCGTCCACAGCTACAAGGTCAGCTGGAGCTGGACCGCTGCGGGACAGCCCCCCTCCTTATTCCTGACCAAGAGGAGGAAGACAGTCAAAGAGGTGAGGACTGTTCATCTTATTCCAGCGCCTTTATGTTATTCCAACTGTCTTAAGAAACAGAATCCGATCCTGTCTATTTGTTAACAAGGCAAGGAGTTAAATCATTTGAGTTTATATTCTTTTGGCAACACAAATGACATAATAGACTAAATCAGCAATTGGACTTTAGTTTTCTCATACTTTGTGTGTGTGTGTGTGTGTGCAGGCCCAGGTGGCGCTGGACAGCCTGCGGGCTAACAGGAGCTACAGTGTGGAGGTCCAGGCTGTTTCCTACTGGGGACAAAATCAGCTCAAAGGCCCCCGAGCCGTTCTCCACTTCAGCACGCGGCGCTGTACGTGTTATACTTCTTCCTATACCTCTAAGGTTTTTAGTTTTTTTATAACAGCATGATGAAGTGGTTAGCATTCTTAAGTGATCCTAAATGTATATTAAACACAATGAACCCTTTGTCATTTGGAGTTCAATCCGTTGAATTCTATAGTTTCTTGTCTGTTTTATAGCCAAAGGTACATCCAGACTCCCTGGAGGTGGCAGTCTGGATGTGGGGATGCCATTCTACCAGGAAGGACTGCTCCGGGTTCATGTGTGCTGGCAGAGCAGCACGGGTACGTACACATGTCTGCAGAAAGATTAAAGAAGCAAATAGTCAGTCTTCCTCAAACACACATGTGGTAATATAATACCATCATTGGGTATAATTGTGAAACTCTCCTCCTTTATTGAGTGTGTGCTCTTTGTTCCTATAGATCCCTCTATTGAATCCTACAGAGTCCAGTGGGAACCAGAGTACTGTGGACAGAACCAGACAGGACCTGGAGAGAAGACCAGCACACAGGTAACCCCGTCCCCTTAAACATGGATGTCAAGTACATGATGTAAATCGTACTTCCAAGAACCGACTGTACGGACATAAGAGATCTTGTTAGTGGTTGATAGTTTGAAAATAAAGAATGAAGAGAATGCAGAGATCTCATGGTTGCATTTGTTCTCTGTCTGCTGTAGGAGAGCTTTGTCAGCCTGCAGGGTCTTCTCTTCTCCTGTAAGTATAAAGTCGTCCTGCAGCCAGTCAGCCAGAAGAGCCAGAGTCTGTCAGAGAGCACCAGCTTCTTCACCCCCTCCTGTGCCTCCATCCAGGCCAAGAGTCCCAAACCCATCAGCTGTCCCGGAGATACAGGTGAGGTCATACATGATGAGAAGCTGAAATCACCATGGATAATCTTAAAAACACATAAATAAGTGTCTTACCAACCCTCTCGTCTTCCTCCTCCAGCAGCGTCCCCTCACAGAGTCCTCCTGAAGGCAGCCAACCTCACCGCCTCCTTCGAGGTGCGGGCGGGAAACGTGACGGCCGTCTTCAGCTGGGAGGTGTCGGCAGCTGAGCCCCACCAGCAGCTCACTGGGTACCAGGTCACATGGGCGGAGGTCATCCCCCCCACCGGACACAACTACAACCAGCTGCCTCACAGCCTCATCTCTCAGTCTCAGATCCTGCCTCCGGTCAGTGCTGATAGTAACGCACATATATTGAGTTCAGCTAAGGTTGAGGACACCTAACTCATGTCCTCTCTCCTTTCCTTCAGGACGGTAATGTTCTGGTGGTGTCGGGTCTGCATCCGGCCAGTTTGTACCGGCTGGAGGTCCAGACCATCACAGCAGAGGGTGAAGGGCTCGCAACCAGCAGAACCTTCCAGACCCCCGGACTGCAAAGCACACGGAGGCACAGTAAGAAAAACAAACACTATCCTTGTGTGGTTAAACTTTAACGTTTTTTTCTCTACTTTCATAAAAAGTACTTGTATAAAGTATATCTTGTTTCCCTCATTCAGGACCCAGGCTGAGGAAACATCACCAGCAACCGCCAATCATTGAGAGGCACTGACAGCTGACAGCCAATCAGCCGGCAAGAACCGAGTACCTGAAACTCAGGAGAATCCACAGAACACTGATACGCACGACAAATGCAGCTTCAGGAGCGAAATGAATTCTGCATCATAAATCTCTCCCTGCAGTGTTTCTTTATTTGAATTAAAACTAAACTACTGGTAAACTACGAGTAAGACGAGCACTCGGTGCTAAGTAATTAGAAGTATGTAGGTTTGATACCCAGCAATAATCCCCTGAAGTATTTGCATGTTAAAAAACTTAAATGTTTAGCGGTTCCTTCAATACATGTACAAAAATGGTGTCCTGCAACTGATTCATTGAGGAGAATGAATGACCTTGTACTGTAAATGTTGTATATACTGTCTGTATTTATTAATTGTGGTATATTTGTGTGTGGATTGTAAGCATAACACAGCTGTCCTGTATGTGTGCTCAGTCTTCCTGTACAGAGTTGTTTTAAAACTAAAGATAAATCCCATGTCCATACCGTATGTGTTCCGTCACTCTTGGGATGTATTCTTGAACCTGAACAATAGATGGCAGTATTCCTCCATACATCCGCTGCTTTCTGTATCCATCAGTGCAGGGAAAAGAGCATCATGACGAAAGTGGTCTCAGTGTTCAAAGCTTAGCAAAAAAACACAATCAATCTGTTACACCTCACTGGATTTTACCCAACAGTTCTTAAAAAATAGGCAAACATTGAATTCTACTAAATTGTGTTCATAGTAATGTTTAATGTTACGTGGTGGTAAGGACATGTATCACTTTGAAAGAGTCTTCAACTTGTGATCTTAGAAAATGTTACATGTTGTTTGGCATAAGGTGGATTATAATAGCGTGCCTTGAAACAATACATTATATTGCATGTAAAGAGCATGGGCCAATATAAAAATAAAAACAAGAATCAGTCATCCATTTGCATCATGAGAATCGATGAATCAAAAAAATAGCTGATAGTTGCATTTTCTTGGTCAATCAGTAGGATAGGGTTCGTTTCTATGTGGTCATAGTATTTAAAAACATTACTTTGACCAAAATGAATACAATATATGAATTAAAATGAATACATTAATTAATATACAGATGTACTATATTACTCAATTTCTTTTTTGGTTGAGTCATTTGGCAGATGAACCAATACAATGTGTTGGATGTAGCCCTAGATTGTATGTTTTTGTAATGTTATGCTCACCTTTTAGATCCTTAAAGGTGAAACAAACGACATACTATATTAATCCAACAAGGGTATATTCAAATCAAGGATAAAGACGTGAGAAGAGGATATGCCACAACTATTTTTCAGTTTCACTCTTGTCTTTATTTGTCATGTGGTGTCTGCTAACACCAAACCCCCCACAGCTGCATCACCAGTTTGTTTGGCTGTGTGGACTTTCCCCGCATTCAGCAACGCTTTGAGCCTCTCACAGAAGGAATAATGTGCACAAATGAGCCGCAGTCTGTACACGCTGACAGTCCGTCAGGCTGAACGATGCATGGAAATTATGCTGTGAAGGCAGAAATCAGCAGAATGGAGGATTCTACCTTCTCCTCGTGTACGGGATGAGGTGCCGGCGCATTTTGCTTGAATTCACCCCCTTCGAACTTGTCCCGCTCCCTAATTGAAACCCCTCTCCTCGGGAAGGCATTACATTAACTCTTCCAGACAGAGGCTCTTATCAAAATGCAGCAGGCCTACTCGGGTAAATAACGGTCTGGCAAGGGGAAGGCGTTACAGCTGAGCGCATATAAAAAAGATATTAGATTCATTCTAATTATGCTCTGGGAAACATGGCGGTTCGGCCTTTGGTACAGTAGAGGTCAGAGGTAGAAGTACGGCAGTGATTATGAAATCGATAGCTCTCCACGGCGGGGCCAACGGATTGTAAAAGGCCAATTACCACGACAGCTGCCTCAGCAAACGCAGGGGACTTTTCTACTGTGAGAATCTGAAAGTGGGAATAAGAAGCGGAGGAAACCTGACTGCAGCATACCCCAGAAAGTGCGTCAACCCAGGTCAATATCGTCCTGAGGCTAGAACGCCCTGGAAGCAGCTCCTCTGTTCTCTGGCCAACTTCACTGGAGGATCCCTTTGATGAGCACACATTCTGTCTAATTAATGAGGGGGAACATGGGGGCTTTCATCATTCCTAATTCTCCTGATCTCATTCAAATCCACTCTTCAAATGCCTTGCCCTAGAACTACGCCTAGAAAGGGGAGCTCTACGTTCTGCTCAGACTCCTGGAGGATCTGGTTCTGATGTGGGCAGAGGGTCTCTGGGTAAGCCAGGGGTTCCCCGTAGGAGCCACCAATCGGCAAAAAACCCAAAGAAATGTCAGCATGTTGGGGCCAGGACTTCAATTTGATTCCATTTACCTCGAAGTGCGCCTCCTGAGGACTTGCACACAGGATTTTTAATTGGCTGATGTTCCCCTACTGCTCAAATCCATTCCATTTCACTATGAATGCCAGCAAATTCTGAATAAAACCTCCAATGATAACAAGGTTGGGTTATATTCTGGATTCACTAACCAAGACAGAGATCAACAACTAGCTGAACAACATGAAAGACAACGTTTCATCTTGCAAGGATTCTATAGTTACATTCAAATAAAATATTAAATCTACTAGGAGAAATTTACGCTCCTCAGATCTACAAATGTATTCTTTTATGTTACATCTCTGTCTCCGTTCCCCAGCCCATAATCAATGCATTAACTGCACAGCACCGGGAGACGCGAGTAATTCATCATTTTAGTAATTCATCATTCAAATGTCTCTGCAGCACTGATGCAAACAGAGCTCTCACTGTACGACCACACACTGTCATGCTATTCAGGGTTTGTCATGGGCGTTGTGCTGAGTCATGTTTTCTGTGACAAACACTCTCCGTTGACACCACTACAGGTATGGAAGTGCTCCTAAAAATACAATGCTGCAGGTATTCTGGATATACGTTCGCCCTCTGCAAATGAGAGAACATTGGATAAACACGAGCCACACGCTGACGTACTGGCCAGGAAACATTTGTATTTTCAAATGAAGAGGCAAGCAAGCTTTACACATTTCATTCGAGTAAAACCGACTTCACGGTATGAAAAATAGATGATGTGATTCCATCCTCTTGTTGGGCCATTATGGAACGGTTATATAATCCCACTGAAAATCGCATCATCAGTGTTGCTTCTGATGCATGTTCTACTTCTCGCTTAAATAAGGATTTTTCTCCATGGAAAGATCAGTATTTGTATATCATTAATCCCCCAAGTAGAGTCTCAAAAGAATAATAAAAGGCGGGAGAGAAGAAGAAAGATTTGTATTCTTCTCTGCCGCCCAGTCAGTTTATTTTTCCATCTAAAAGTTAGGCCGTCCACCATCAAGTCCTAACATTGTTCAGGCTTTCATTGCAGCAAGGACCCCGGAGAATTGATTCCATTTCTGTGTTTCTTTTATTTGTCATAAAACAAAGCAAACCTTGTATAATTCGGAGTGTTGGCCATCGGTGCTGAATCTCTCTCCGGCTCCTCTGGGATCATCCAATCGTATAAAAAGGGACGGCAGTGTTTTTAGGCCATGGCCGCCTGCTGTCTGCTGCTCTCATGCTGGGCCTCCTGCACCTGCTGACATACATACTGTATACATTCACAGGTTAAATAGCAGCAGGGCTTCTCACTGCACATATTATAGATATTCAATGGACAACAATAAGTTTCAGGTTGCCCAACTGCGAGGTTGGGTCGGACAAATAACTATCCCTATTTTATTACGCCGATACAATAACTGTTCTATAGTAAAAGTGACTCTGAGAACCAGTTTGTTGGCACTTATTTCCCTTTCCTCAGCTCCATGCAACACTGTTACATTCCCTTCCTTCACTGTTGAGTGTGTGACAGCTGGAGGCCTCCGTACACTGAAGAGCTATAGTGTTGTCATATTTTGCTCGCCTCTCTCCTGCCCAACCGTCCGATACAAATCTATGGGAAATATGGACCGGCTAAAGCCATTTTTAAAAAAGAGCTCAGAGGACAAACAGCTGGAGTGGTTTAATGCGGCGTGTTGTCACGGTTTGAGTGGTATTGACAACCTGGCAGGTGCCGGCCGGCAAGAGAAACACTTCCATTGATCGGGGGCGGCCCCCGGGGCAAAGACGTGTCCCGTCACAGCTGGGCCGTCCTGACCACTCAGCACAGCGCTGAGACCACACTTTAAATGGGAGGACAAGGGGCATCCCTCACTGCCTATTAACATCCCGAGGGGCCCGCAGTGAGGGTCATTAAAGGCAGATTTACAGCCAGGGCTTGTAAACGGAGGGTCTCCTGCTGGAGGAGAATTAGTCATGAGTCAAATGATTTGGTATTAATCGTGCTGCAAATACGAGGGCGTTTTTAAGCCATTAGCATGCTGGGGTGAATGTTAGCGTACTCTTCTGACAAACCTCATTCTTTTTGATGCGTGTCCTCCTGCCCATGCTGGGGGGTTTTCTCCCTGTAAAGCAAATGCCTTCGGGATCGAAAAACCCACGTTAGGAGAACCTTGCCCACTTCTTACCTGTTACGAGTCGTGTGTGATTCTGATAATATTATGGTAATAATGATAATTATAAGGCAGCATAGTGCCGTGGGCTTCGACCTCAAGAACAACATTTAAAAAGTCCTCGTCTCATTTTGTTAACTGGGGGAATACGACTAACCCAGTTTCTCTGTGCTCATTGGAACAGCACATCCTGAACATGCTCCTGGGATAAACAGCTTATTTATGTCCATGTCAACAAAGTCTATGAGAGAGCCACAAACTGGGGCAACGATTAGCCAATGTTTTTTTAATTTAGTTTAGTCATTGGGGGGGGGGCAACACAAAAGAGTCTTTACAATCATTGAGTATTCGGATATTTTGTACAATTGTGAGCAGCTAAACCTGTATGGAAGCTCTAAAGGCAACAATACAAATGTTTTTTGATGTTATTTTCAACTGTTGTTAAGTCATTAACCAATGGAAAATTGACCATTCAATTATTTTCGTATGGCGGTTCAAAGGGAATTTTGGCATGTTGCCGTAATATGCATTTCAGCCACAAGGGCGCACCCCTGCCCCATCCAACTGTAAAGGAAGGAATACGTTTCTGTACATTACCTTTCATTTTCTCAGATGGTAAAAAAAAAAAAAAAACTATAATAATTTGTATAAAAAAGTTTTAATATGTTTTTAAATCACAAAATCAACTAAACAATTTGCATTCAATTTGAATTGAAAAGGGCAGATACAGAGTGAGAGATACATGAGTGCTGTGGGCTGAGGTTCTCTGAGACATGTTGTGTATTTTGTTGTGTTGGAAGATGGAAATGTTGCTCTCAGCACCTCACACTGACACCGCATACATTATTCAGAAAATCAAGGGCGACCAGCTCTCCTGACGTGAAGCCCGAGGCACTTTATCGAACCAAGGCAACCCTTTACTGCATAATTTGCCTTCCTTTAAATGTCTTTATTCTCCAAACTGTATATTTGTATTCCATTTCCCATTATTGCGGCTGGAACAGATGCATCTCTGTAAAGTGGCGTACCGGTCGTCCTCATGGCGCTGATGTACGTCGATGGAAGTGGCCTTTTGTGGAAAACTTGTTCACACATATTCTCCTGGCTTCAATGGAGGCTCTAAGCCACACAGTGTACGCCTCAAAAGAGGAGAAGATTAACAGTGGGAGATAAAAAGATTCGGAGAGTGTGCAGACCGTGGAAATGAGATGCTGATGCTCTGTTAGCTCATTTGTCACTGTTCTCCTTCGCAGGAAAGTCGCTGTAAAGTATTCATGGGCTCCTTTTACTTTACATTTCTTTCTGCATTAGATCACTATTGACTCTCACACAGAAGAGTCTTTGAGGGCGCAGTGTGATGTCGTCTGAGGCAGAACGTCTGCTGGGGCATACCAAAATCAGAAAGACTATTCCCTGCTAGTTTACCAGGGCTGCGGCATACCGGCGGAGACCAAGGTGGAATAAATATAGACTTGATTAAAATTTAAGTCAGGGAATCAATTCCCACAATAAATGATTCAACAAACCAGCAGTGGAGGCTCAAATGAAATGCACACTAAATAATCAAAGAAAAAATGAGATTTCAAAAGGATGTTTCTTCGTATGGTGGCTAGTCGGATCATTTAAATGACGCTTTTATCCAAAGCAACGCACATGTACTGCAATAATGTAGCAATTAAGAGAACTGATCAGGGAACATCATCTTGGGACCATGAATTTCTTTGCCAATCCTTTGTGTACAATGGGGAAAAGGGACAAGGAAAGCATCAAGGATGTCTAAATGTGTCCACAGCAGTTTGGTGTGAGAAAGTTAAATATTCTGAAAACTGTTGGGGCCTTGTGATTGGCTGTCTTTCACTAAAATGCATCGGGTAAACCAGCATCGGCATACAGTACTCGACGCTGATTTATGTTCCAGACCCACTCCCAAAGCCGTCTACATAGAAACAAAAACTCTTGATACATGATAATAATTCCATTGTTTCAAACAAAGGAGTTCCTGTTTAATTCCTCATTTCAACCAAACATGCTTATCTGATATTGTCTGGCCTTAATTGTGCATCAAACTCCTTCACAAACTCGCTCCCCAGCACCGTCCTCTCAATCACCTGCAATCAAATGTATTCTCTCATTGCTTCGAGCTGAATAAAACATGAGGGCTATTTGCATCTCTGAGTAAGCACGGAGAGCGCAGAAAGCTCAGAGTCTGCTTCCTGTCTCACAGCAGACAAAGTGCGTCTCATGGTCAGCGGCGGCTATATCTTCATCTCTATAAAACCCTTTTGATTCAAGTGGAGGTTGCACACTCTGGTAGTGGAATACAGAAACACCCAGCAACTACCCTCATCCCATCTTGGCTTTCTTCTGTGCTCCACCCTTCTTGGCAATTCAGCCATCGCCTGTGCTTTGGAGATATGCAGACTTGAGATATGCCTTCGCTTTGTGTCAAGAATATATCTCAGGCTCTGCCACCTAGCACATGGAGGAGTTATTTGTTTTGGCTTTTAAAAAGGAAAGACGGATTTTATTAAGGCTATAAACACGAGAGAATGCTCTGTAGAGTATTTAGATGCACATCTTTAGATTGTCACAGACAAATCAATTAAAATAGAGAAATCACAGAGGATTTCCTGACTGTAACATGCTTATTTAATCCCTTAGTCCCGTCAGGAAGGTGATGACTTTTCTTTCTAAATCCCTGGAAGAAAAATACAAACTGCTTTCTCAGAGATAGCCAGTATCTGTAGAGAGCACTCCTCTGAGACAAGATAGAAGGGGATGTACAGAGGGGGGTCTGCATTATCAGATGAGCATCCATACTATTTCCCCTTAAGACGGAAGAAATGTTTAAAATGAGGTCATCCATACAATGTCTTTCTCTGACGTCCAGTGTTTTCCACTTTGCCTGTAGAAGAGCTGCTTGTCTGATACAAATCCGGGTAGAAACGCTGAAGATGAATGTGTCCCAAAGCCACTCTGCCTATCAGTGGTGAGCACAGACGAAAAGAGGAAAACTATCTCTTCACCCCTCCTCAGTCATGGACAGCTGCTGGGAGGATAAAAGGGAAAGGTAAAGGATAAAGGGCACGAGGGTGCAGCTTTATGGATTTCTTAACATGTATGTTCGGAGAGCTGTGGGGGCATTTCACACGATCGCAGAGCCAAGAAAAGCTTAAAGATAGCCGATTTAAGAATGACAAAAAGCCGGGTGCAAAGCGATTTTGGCCCCCAGCTGAAAACCATTATCTGGAAATGGGTCAGAGCAGGCACAAATGAGAGGGAAGATGCCAAGCTCTTCACAAGGCGGATTTCAATTTCAAAGAAAAGTACACGCGGGAAGACTTTGGAGTACACGCACTTCAACATGCCCTCGATGGAAAGACGCACAGATCCTGGTAAACATGTGCAGGCAACACAACTGCCGTGCGTGTTGAAATCACTGGAAGGCTGTCTGAAAGCTTAACCTTGAAGTCGAGTGTAGCAACTCAAGATTTAAAGGTGCTTTATGTTGAAGTGCGTGTATTCCAAAGTCTTCTCCACTGTACTCCCTCTCCCACTATATGAAACAACTGCCCAACATAAAGGAAGAGAGAGCTACGTGCTGTACATTCGGTCTCTAAGGAGGAAAGAGTGAGAAGTGTTTGGCATTTCAAAAGTGACGCTTACACACATTGTATGAAAAGGGCAGAGTTGCACAGACAGTATTCACACTGTGCATTAAATACAACCTAGTGATTAGCATGAGTATAGAACACAGGCTTTTATATTTTCTTAAGCACTTAAATCATTGTTAAAGATCATAAATGATGGTAAGGTTTTCATGGTTTTCTCACTGAATCTTTGTGACTCATTCGTACGCCGGCAGGCCGAAGAGCTGCGGCTGGAACTCCTCCATGCTCCTGAGTCGCAGCATGGCCTCCTGGGTAAGACTGGGGTCCATGTTGTCGTCGGGGATCATCACCACCTGCATCCCCGCCGCCAGCGCCGCCTTCACACCGTTGGGAGCGTCCTCAAACACCAGGCACTGAGGAAACAGAATGATATCATCCTATAAGCCCATTAGGTGGACAGCATTTCACCCTGAGCGCTGACACCAAAAACAAACAGAGAAATGGAAACCTTTTTCATTTCCAACGTGATTAACTTGATATTCCTCAAAGGACTGTTTACCTCTGACAGGTGCAATATCCATTTCAGATACAATAAATGCTTCCTGCAATTTCCTCTGCTGTGTTTATGTTTTCAGTCATTGCACTGAGGATCTGACACATTGCATATCAAGAAGATGCATGCCATATAATCCAGCTTGATGTTCTAATAACGCTCGGGCATGGCAGCTGCAGACTGAATGAAAAACTAACAGGCAGTGTTACTCTGGTTAACGAAGAAGGGAAGAGGGAATTGTTTGTTTAAGGGGAAAGAAAGGTTTGCCAGGAGGTTGAAAGGAGGAGGTTGAAGATACTGTATGGCAAATTTTAGGAACATTGACACCAAAGAGCCTGAGGACCAGCAAAGACTGACATCACAGGCCCAGAGTGAAAGGAATATTATTTCCCTTTTCGGTGAGTCCCTTCTTTTTGGAGTTCTCGTTTGAACTGGATTACCTTTTTTTTGTGAAGTGACTTTGGACTTATCATTTTTGCTTTCGTTTGGATTATTCAGCCTTAACAAGAAGACTGCATTTTAAGTTGGACATTGCCTGAGAATTACTTCAGATATAATTTGTGTTTGTACTTGTGTTGGAGGTGGTGAATGAGTTTGGGCTAATCAAACTGTCTTTGTGATGCCAGACTGACTCTGTCTAGGGTTTAGTTTGGGGGGGGGAACTTTATTATTTAGAGGACACATTTCATTTTCAGCCACTCTCTTTTCCTGGTTAAATTACCACAGTAGCTCCCGACCTTTTTTCAATGGTAACTAGACTTAAAATATAAGCTGATTGTTACAATGTGTATACCAGATTTGATTTCCATACCATCTAAAATAAACCAATAACTAGGCTCACAAATCCATGACAAACTGTACCATACTTCCTGTTGCTGCAGGATTCATGCCATGTGCCACAGGCTAAATAACTCAAAGGCTGTCGATAAAGCAAGTATTATTTTTGTCTAGAGGTGCCAATACAAAATCTGAGTGCCTAAATATTGAGCCTTTATTTCATATTACCATTAATGCATTCTGCAAATTGCTCTTTAACCCGTATTTGAAGTGCTTCTTTGTTCCCTCTTTCATCAACATCTGTGAATTCATTCTTCGGCTAAAAGCCAGCCTTGACTTTGTGGTTGGAAATGTGTGTGAATAAAGGAAACAGTCGTACAGTGCGACTAAAGCTCTACAAGAAGCCAAGCCTCAGAAAAACCATGAGGAACCTTTGTTCGTCTCAACTCTAATACTCAGGTAGAACAAAGAGGCCTCTGCGAGACTCTAATTGACTTCTATGATGTCACTAATCCTGAAACTGGAGGATGTGGAACAATGATGGTGGAAACACCGGGTGCACAACGGAGGGCTTTTGCTAATTCCCTTGATTGGGAGCAATTAAAACTGGTAATTACCCAACGTGCTAGTGAAGCAACCCTTTAATCTGCTTCCAATCCGAGTATCAAAATAGATGAAAACAGACGAATGGTTCACCAGTTTCAAAATTGGGGAAATTATCTTTAAAGCAGAATGGACCAGCCTAGATGTAGACTGAGATACACAGAAACTATCCACAGTACCCTTAACTTCTTTAAGTGCCATTAGCATACCTGAGAGGACGAGAATGAATGCCTCAGAGAAGATGGGGTTGGTGACGTGTAAATGCATCCATCGCTGTGATTTCAGATGGAGCCCTCGACGTCAGTACCACCGCTATCGCCTCTTTTTATTCTCTGCACGCAATTAATCCTCCCAAGAGTAACTACGCCAACAAGCGTTCTGAAGTAGCCACTTATACCGCTGCAGGAAGTCAACAACCTGTTACCCGCCGGAGCTGGTGCAGACCAGATGGGGTTTTGAAACAGGGTCAAGTGCATCAAGCAGTTTTTTCCCCAGAGTTTACTCCACTCTATGCATATTTTTTGTTGATTCCCAGAAGCAGCTGCTACCTGAATCGGACGTTGTGTTCACTGTCATCCTCCTGGTATTGACGTGATGTTGCATATGCTAAACCAGTCACGATCAACAACCCTGCCGGCAACCCTTGAAAGAATCACCTCATGAGCTCGGAACAAAAGCAGTACAGTACCTGTGACAGAAGACACGCATCTCATTATCTGTGTTGTTTCTTTCTTTCTCATATTGAAGCAACAGGAAGGAAGTGGGCGTGCTACTCTACCACCAGAGGTGATTCAGAAGAGGATTCAAAGAATGTATGTGAAAAGCAGTGGGATTTGTCCATTAGATCGTGGCATGTTCCAGAAAATAAGATCTGGAGCAAACGTTTAAGAAAATGTCCAGAAAAGAATAGCTGACATACATCACCGTCACCTGACTTCACATCGACGTGGGTAAGATAAAGGGTGGCTAATGTTCCGCTTTATGGCGTTTAGTCTCTTATTAGGAACCGTTTTCATTATATATATCTCTAAATATTGCAATGTTAACTCCTATTAACTTAAATGACCTCCCTCTGAACTGAAGTAGGGCTTACCCTAATTGGCATATATGTTACAATCTACAATGTGGCTAAATGTTTGTTGTATCGCATCGGAATTTCATATAAATGACTTGTGTAAATGGGATCAAGGTATCCAGTTGTCAGAAAGTACAGTTAAGTGTACACATTTCTACCTGAAGTGATGGCAGGAGGAAGCACAGCAGCATCACTATCCGAGCACTGTGGCCCAGATCCCTCTCCCCACAGCGACTGACACAAAGCAGAGGTGTGCTGCTTGTTCCATCCAGAAGCAGAGCAACAAAGCCTCCAAAAAATGTAACAAGGTAGAACTCTCTTTGCCAACCTCTTAGGGGGAGGAAAGAGATCTTTTCATGCCAACATAGACCCTGCTAACATGAACTCAGAGCCTACAGCGCTCAATGACTGACTTAAACAGCAAGAAATGGCAAAAATACTATTGTTGCAAAAAAACAAGATCACATCCAACTACATCAAGCCATTTGGTTTGCTCTTTGCCAAGATGTTCGGAGAAATGACTGCATTGGCAAAAAGCGTCGTAATAGAAGCAAAGATTCCCTTTGAAAACTGTTTTTGAGAGCACATTTCTTGCCATTCACACAGCAGATGTCTAGCAGTAAGGAAATGCAATTTAATTCCGGTTGAGCTTTGAAAATGACCTCTCTTTAATATACTACTTCCTTGCAGGGATTGAGGAGGAACGGACACTCAGTCACTGTGGAGGTACGTCAGTGTCACTGAATAAAGTTTCACGTGGACCTCCTGACTTCCCTTCCCTCTGGGTGGAACTGTGAGGAGGCGCAGGCCCCCCTCCCCTCTTCAAACGATGCCATGGAAGATTTACTACCTGTCCTCAGGCCTACACCCAAACACATGCAAGATTCATCAGAGCCAACCGACTCTGGAAGCACTGAGTCTGCACAACGAGACAAAAGGGGATGTGGGGTGAGGCCAGAGCTGTAAACTGTGTGCACACCATCCCATTGTCTCCAACACAATTGGCCCAATAACACAACACACATAGAGCCAGCTCTCAGAGGAGTGTGTTGTGGGAAGGCTGTGATTTGGAGAAGACCCAGGCCTTGTTCTCCGGCACACTTCAATAAGAACGCCTCTACAATGAGAGGAGTCCTGCTTTAGTTAAGCTCACAGGCGCTGATATTCCCAAAGATCATGCCTTAATAGATATGGGAGGCGTGTGGTGCAGTGGGTTGTGAGTTGGTATTCGGATCAGGAGGTCACAGGTTCAAACCCCACTGCAGTCAGCATGTCGTTGTGTCCCTGGGCAAGACACTTCACCCCAAATTGCTCCTGTGGGGATGCCCACAGTATTGAGTATGTAAGTCGCTTTGGATAAAAGCGTCTAACAAGTGACATGTAATGTAATGTAATATGGGATTTCACATTCTATATGTGCATTCACTCTGTACTGTTTGAAGTATAGAGAAAAGCCGACGAAATAATACATTGATAGCCCCGTGGAAATCTCATCAATTCAATCAAATCATCAATACTTTAGCACTTTGTCATAATCATATCATAACATATGTAATCTGCTGTGTTGAGAAATGGGAGCCATGTTTTGAATAAAATGGTGCCCTTAATGAAACTAAAATGAAAGCAGACAGAGTTGATTCATCAATATTAGTTTCAACATGTTCTTTGAAATGTCTTGTTTTTGAAAGAATGTTAGAGGGCTCTTGCTAACCATTTCTGACGCCAGGCCCCTTGACACTGTGCGATTCTGTCTGATCATATTCTTCAGTGGTGAGAGAAACGTGGTTGAATATTCGGTCATTCATTGAAAACGGGTGTTCTTGGATATCACTGTGAAGCATGTTGACTTGACAGAGAAAGCCTGCAGCAAATTCACAAAGAGGTATTAAATGTAGAACCAAACTGTCGAGCGCCATTTTTAAACGATGTTCAGGAAGACATAAAACTCAAACTTGTAGACACAAAATCTAAAAATTGCAAATAAAGAAGAAGTTTGTGGGTCTCTGGACAACATATTTCAATATACCCATCCCACACAGTGTGAGATGGGTTGAATTGCACCAATTTATGTCACTTCAACTAGCAATATGTTCAACACGTTTCTTCAAAATGCTAATGTAGCATCGCAATACTAGCCGGATATTACATCAAATGCAGGTTCTAACAAAACCTTCATGATAAAATGAAACTTTTAGGTCACAGCTCACCCACAGTTCCACGACCTTAAGCCCCATTAGGACAGGATTAACATTACAGGGGGGTGTACTCGATCTGTAATTTGACTCAACGTTCAGGACAGTATTAACCACGGGAAACGATAGCATATGGTTCATAATAGAGGGACAATCAGCATGACAAAGTCAAAAGCCTCTCCGGGAAGTGGTGGTGGGGGGGCAAAGATACTG